AAGGACGCGCGGTAAGGACGCAAGACCCTTGGAAGCCGAAGATTGGATTTTTGGGGCGTCGGACGACGAAAACCTCAAGGGCGCAAGAGCAAGGAAGAGCAAGGACGCAAGGGTACCCTGAGCAATCCTTAGTAGGGTTTTCGACTGAAGGCGAACAAAAAGGCCCTTCCCCATCCCAGGACCAATTCTTCATCTGGCATCGTCTCGCGATAGCCCAGGGGCCCGTGGAGGGCCCCAGAGAGCCAAGAACCGAGGACAGCCTCAAGGCCCGTTTCCCCTCAAGACCCATCTCCTTCACGGCAGGGCAGGGTCGGGGTACCGACCTTGAGCGGACCTGGGACAGGCCAGACTCCGACGGCTTCAAAGAAGCCCCAATCCCTGCGCGGCGCCGCTGACTCGTCCCAGCTGGGTTCGCCCCATCTACTACAACGGCGCCCATGCACCGTACCTCGTTTGGACTCCCTCCAGACCTCGCTCAAACGCGGGGACGGTAGGTCGTTTTTCCTGGTCCGAGAGCCGAACATCTGTGCACCGTGCCATTCCTGGGCCTGGAGATCGACGACGCCTCGGGAGACGCCAACGCGGCACAGTGCACACAGGCCGTCCGCGGATCACTTGTGGGGAAACCCCACGGATTGGACGCACCACGTGTTCCCCCTTGAACCTGACTTTCAATCATTCGCGACAACGGGCGTGATCGGGGGAGGGGGGGGGAAATTCGCCCACCCCGATCAAACCACGGCGGGGGGCCGCCGGAAACGAAGGGGCCCAAGGACACACAAATAAATACACACAAATAAAAGGATTCCCTATATTTTCTCATATTTTCTTGGTTTTTGTCTTCCCCACCACTTCCCATATTTTCCCATATTTTCCTGGGGATCGACGATTAATTGTGTGTGTGTTGTTTCCCCTCTCCTGAAAAAAACCTGAGGATATCCTTAAAGAACCCATAGTCGGGGATGGACAGAACCCCCTTTAGCAAAACGTGGTTTCGTGAAAACGACCTCGGGCCCAAATCTGGCGGGCGAAAGCCTGGAAACTGACGGCCGCGGCGCCCTCTCGAGAACCGAAGACGGACAATTCACGAATCGACGTGTCACTGTTGGGGGTTCTGTCCAGCCCCGACTTTTGGGGAAACCCCATGGATTGGACGCACTACGTGTTCCCCCATGAACCTGACTTTCAATCATTCGCGACAACGGGCGTGATCGGGGGAGGGGGGGGGGAAATTCACATGGGGCCAACGTAGCGTGACGTGATCCGGGGAGGGGAGGGGGGAGGGAGAGGGCCGACCACGGCCGCTATCGCCCAAACCTCACAGAAAACACACACTCCCTGGGGGCGGATGTCCGCCCGAAGCACACACAGCACGCACGCCTCACACCGCGTCGCTCTCCAGGCGGCACGGGCAGACCACGCCCACCACGGCGCTCACACTGCGAGATGTTCCCGTGTGCGCGTCGCCCCCCTCCCTGAGATCCGCCGCAACGGATAAGGATGCAAAAAAAACGACCTGGCCAGAGCACTGGCCCCAGACCCCATCACTCCGCGGCATTCTGCAAGCTGGATTGCTTCGGGAGGGCCCCCATAGGGCCTGCAAGGAGGCAGAATCGCTGGTGGCGAACACCAAGCACGTCCTTCGAGTAAGGTTAGGTCGGGCATGTCCCCTTACAGGCGGATTTTGGGCGAAAAATGAAGAATACCCAAAACAGATCCCAATATAGTCAAACAGTACTTTTACAAATGTGTCCCATACTGTTAATGCTGTAATACTATGTTTGAACATTCCTCCTGTAGAGGGACAGACCCGACTGAAGGGTAAGAGCTGGGCTCTCTGGCGGCCGCTCGGGACGATCCGGGGCACCCCCCGAACGCCCCCGGCGAGTCGCAGCCCCTGGAACGCACCCCGAGGCTGGAGCACCGCCGGGGACCGACGGAAACGCCCGAACACCTCGAACCTCGAACTGCTGAGATCGGAAACGACGCACACGTCGTACGAGCACGTCTGGGCACGCCTCGCAGCCGGACGCACGCGCCCGGCCGCTTGCGTGAGCGCGGCCCTCCAGCTCGCACGGCCGCCCTCAGGGTTAGGACGGGCGTGTCCCCCTACAGGGGGACCTTCGACGAAAAATAACAAGCACCCCCAAAATACTCCAATGTATTCAAAAATGTTGGAAAAAATTGTCCCCAGCCTATTGTTTGACTATTTTGGGATATTCCCCCCGTAGAGGGACAGGCCCGACCTAACCTCAGGGCACGAGCGCGCACGCGCGACCCCCCAGACCCGGAACATGATATGCAAGGTTCGTGTCGTGCCGACTCCGGCGTTGCTCCCTGACACCGCGGGGATCGTTCAACCTTGAACGATCGGCCGTTTCGGCAACCTCCGATCTTCACTATCGACTGCTCCTGGGTCGCCGGCGGCGCTCAACGTTGAACGCCTGCGGCGGGGTCGCCGCTGGTCGACACGACGCGAATCTACTGTAACATCATGCTGCTCCGAGCCCTGGCATGCTCGCGTCGTGACGGGAATATGTTGGCCGCTTCTAGCTTCCAGGGACCCTCGCGGGGCCCTGGGGCAGTCAACAAGAATGGCCGCGATGAAAGAACGGCCCTGGGGAAAGAGTCCGGCCTTCTGGGGGCCCCGCAGGGAAAACAAAGGAAGACGTTGCATGTCTGCGAGCGATCCCCACCCGAGAACGCGAAGCGGGATCCCCAAGGGCCCCAAGGACCACCGGCACACTGTGGGCCTGGCGGCCGCGGCATGCAGCCGTCACTCATCGAAGGCTCGAGGCGGGATCCCCAAAGAACGCCGGCACACTCTGGGCCAGGCGGTCGCGATGTGGGCATGCGAGGCCAATCAAAAACTCTTCCCTGAATCAAACATGAGTATCGGTTAACCGATCCCCATCCCCAGCGGCGTGGCCTGGGCCCCATGGGCCGACTTACCCCCTAGATGGGGATGTAGGTCGTTCCCTTCGGGTTTCGAGGGGTGTATCCCCAACTGGGGTGGTAATTTGGTAGGGGTCTCGAAGGGGATGGGGATGGGGATGGGGATCGGTTAAACGATCCCGAAAACAACCGCAACCTGTCGGTTGGGAAGAAACTCGACCGCAGCCACGGGCCCCATCTTCCTGCGGCACTCTTCGAGCGTGCTCCATCCGTGAGTGCCCTGGGGCCCGAGACATGGCAAAACAACCCGTTGCAAAAGAAGTGCGACGCCAAGTTCTTGAGGACGAACCCATGCGAATACATGTGTGCGCACGTCTTCGTTTCGCTCCTCGCCTGGCCCTCCTCCGAGAGCACGGTGAGCGACAGCGAGGGCAAAAGCCGCCTTAGCCCCAGGCGGCCAGAGGAACGGGCTCATGTCAGCCGCGCGAGGAACGAGCATGAGCTCTCGGAGAGGCCCGCACGCAAATTCCTGAAGGTGTGCGCAGACTCGACACCTATCTGTACCGACCCTGGCCATCCTGAAATCCTGGCGTCGGGTTTTCACAACGGGCAAGTTTGCCTTGTCTCGGGCCTCAGGACCCTCACGGATCGATCCCGCTCGAGAGCTGCCGCAGAGAGATGGGGAGCAGGGCTGCAGCCGAATTTCCCTACGTCGGATCTCAGGCTTGTCCCAAACCCACAGATGAGCAACGCGAATAAACGGGTCTTATGCGAGACAACATAGTGGCCTTGCGAGGTGGTTTACGCGGGCCGCCAGCGTGGCACACTGCGTGGAGAAGAGGGCGCTTAGGCACGATGCGCAAATGTCCGCGCGATAGACTCCGTTTTCTTCCGCCGCTTAGATGGGCCAAGGGGGCCCTAATGACGAACAGGACCCCTGGAAAGCCTCCGAAAGGTAAACATGCTGACTCCCCGGAGGTTCGTTCTTCAATGAATTTAGGGTTCGCCTTTCCGTTACTCAGAGCGCCCGAGCCGACCCAGAAGACCTCCAGCTTTTGATCGAGACCACCCCAAATCGGCAGCGCACTTGAAAAGGGAAGTGAGAGGGGGCAGGCCTTCTCAGAAGGCGGCGGAACTTCTCAGAAGCCCTCTGGTCTTGTCAGAAGCCTCCTGTGGCTTCGGAGTGAGCTCAGAGAGCTTCTCAGACGGCCTTCTGGGACTTCTGCCAAGGCCCGCCCTTCCTGTCTATCCGACTAGGCGGGCCGTCGAACAGTGGTCCTGACCGCAGCTCGTGAATGCAGATAGCCTGGGAAAATGCAACATGACCAGCGGGGTCCTGATTGCTTGCTTCGCGGTATGTTTTACCCCGCCCGCGCATTGCGAGAGCCGGCGTGTTTCAACCATAGTGCGTGCTCGTCTTGTTCGGGTACGACATCTACATCCCAATGTTCGGTAAACGTCCGGCTCGCGGACGTTAAAAAGAACTCGAGATCTGGTGCGCCGACTTTTCAACACGGTGTCCCTGGAAATGTCGACCCTCATCCTGAATCGTCTTCTGACGGTCCCGGGGCCCAGCCAGGGCCCCTAGAGGCCGAAAACTGAAAGAAACACTCCAATCCTGCTCAAACAATCCGTACTTTTCGAGGTTTGTGTGTTCGGATCATAAAGCGGGCCTCTGGCGGCCCGTCGGCCCGATGCTTGCACCCCTGGAACGCCCTCGGCGAGGCGCGGCTGCTGAAAACCTTGCCGAGGCGAGACAACCTCCAGGAACCGACGCAAACTTTCGCAAGCTTCCGCCGTGTTGTTTTGCGATCCGCTGGAACTTAGGGGGTTTGGGACCCGCCGACCCAAGACTAGAAAGCAACTCCCTCAAACTGTTGTTCGTCCCCATGGCGTCCACTTGCGCGTCCAATATCGCGCAACTCGGACGTGATACATCTGCACCGTTTGGAGTCATTGGGCGCTAATTGCTGGGCGCCCTTGGGCCGCTATTGAGCGCCATTGGGCTCTATTGGTCGCGGTGCGCGGACTATGGGGCGCTATTCCCCAATATGCGATCAATGCAAGACGAGCGGAACCTTCCGTGTCGTACTTCTAAGCTAGAAACCCGCGCGGACGTCCCTCCGATAGCTCGCGTCCACGACGCTGGTCGTCCTCCCTAAGTGGAAGCCGCACGAGGCAGACAAGGCAGGACCTGGCTGCCTGGCTCATTAGAGCGCGCGCGCGATGCCGATCGAGGACTGGCTGCGGCTGAGAGCTCGCTCATTGGAACGCGGGCGCTCGCGTCAGAAGTAGGACCCGATGACCTTCGGGGGGGGGGGTCTGGCTGTGAGGTCAAAAAGAGAGGGGGGGATAGCTTGCAGGGGCCGCGGGGAAAGGGGGGGAAGAGGCGGGGGCTTCGGGCTGGGGAGGCCAAAAGGAGGGGGGGTAGCTTCCGTGGGGCGAACAAAAAAGGGGGCGCTTCGGGCTTGTGGGGAACATGCAAAGGTGCGGACCTTCTCAGAGAGCTCGGGCATCGCTCAGCCTTCTGAGGTAAGACTTCTCCGAAAATACAAACAGAAAACCGTCATCGGCCGGAGGGCTCCTGAGAAGCCCCCCGCCTTCTGAGAGGGTTTTCTCCTTCTCACTTCCCACCCTCGCTCGCTGCCGACTCCCTCCTCCTCGGGCTCATCCTCCTCGGGCTCCTCCTCCTCCTCCTCCTCCTCCTCCTCGGGCTCCTCCTCCTCCTCATCCTCCTCCTCCTCCCCCTCCTCCTCTTCCTCTGCCCATCATCCTCCTCCTGCTCCTCCTCCTCCACCACCTCCTCCTCCTCAATCTCCCCGTCCTCCTCCCCCTTCCCCTTTCCCCCTCCTCCAACTCCTCCTCCCCCTCATCCTCTTCCCCCTCATCCTCGCGGTCAGACAGAGTCAGCTTAGAGTCATCCGTGGGTAATCCTCCTCCAGCCCCTCTTCCTCCCCCTCCTCCCCCTCTCCTCCTCTTTTTCTTCCTCCTCCTCCTCCCCATCCTCCTCCTCGCCTTTCTACTACTACTTCCGCCTCTCTCCTCCTCCTCCTCCTCCTCCTCCTCCTCCCGTCTCCTCCTCCTCCTCCTCCTCCTCCTCCTCCTCCCTCCTCCCTCCTCCTCTCCTCCTCCTCCTCTCCCTCCCTCCTCCCCGTCCTTACCTCCTCCTCCTCCTCCTGCTCCTGCTCCTGCCTCTCCTCCTCCTCCCCTCCTCCTCCTTCTCCTGCTGCTGCTCTTCTTCTCCTCGGGCTCATGCTCCTCGGGCTCCTCCTCCCTCTTCTCCTCCTCCTCATCCTACTACTCCTCATCCCCTTCCTCTTCCCCATTATCATCTTTCTTCTCCTCCTCTTCTTCTTCCTCATGCTCCTCCTCCTCCTCCTCCTCCTCCTTCTCGTCCTCATCCGTGTCCTTCTCCTCCTCCTCCTCCTCCTCCTCCTCCTCCTCCTCCTCCTCGGGTCTTCCTCGGGTCCGCCTGGTGTCCTCCTCCTACTCCTGCTCCTGCTCCTGCTCCTCCTCCTCCTCCTTGTCCGCGGCAAGGGGGTCGTGGCATGCAAAGACGGTGCAAGACCCAGATCTCCGACAAACGGGTGCTCGTCGACGGCGCGTACAAACCGCAAGTGAAGAACCGTGCGCCTCTCGTGCAATTTACGGTTCTGCGGTGGCTGCTTAGGAACCATTCAGGCCCCCGCCAGGGACCCTGTCCTGCAATCCTTGATCCCCTCGCGTTTATTGCCCCCCCCCGTGTTGCCTGTTGCCGTCTGGCCGAGCCAATGGTGATTGTTTCAATCCTGGCGCTTCTCTGGCATATACGGCTTCGGGGAAGGCTCAGAAGACTTCTAAAACTGAGGAGGGCCTTCTGAACATTCTGAGAAGGCCCGCCCCCTTGCCCTACCCCCTGGGCGCAAAAGCCACCCGTCGCGACTTCTTCACTGCACGATGTCGCGGGGGGCGGTGCCTGGATTCGGCGATCCGTCGATAATCCCAGCCCGATGAATGGGCGACTGGGGCCGACGCGCCCGCCCCCAGAGCCCATCCCAGTCTAATGTTGCCCCTGACTCATGGCCCTCACTGCCGAGGTCCTTATGAACATTATTTGCCTTACCCCGGGCGACTCCCTCGTCCTCCTCCTCCACCTCCTCCTCCTCATCCTCCTCTTCCTCCTCTCCCTCCTTCTCCACCTCCTCCCCCTCCCCTTCCTCTTCCTCCTCCTCCTCCTCCTCCTCCTCTCCTTCCTCCTCCTCCTCCTCCTGCTCCTGCTCCTCCTCCTCCTCCTCCTCCTCCTCCTCCTCCTCCTCCTCCTCCTCCTCCCCCTCCTCCTCCCCCTCCTCCTCTTGGTCAGACAGAGTCAGCTTGGGGTCATCCTTGGGTAGTCCTCCCCCTCCCCCTCCTCCCTCCCCTGCTCCCCCCCATCACTCCTCCTTCTGCTCCTCGTCATGTTCCTCCTCCTCCTGCTGCTCCTCCTCCTCCTCCGTTTCGGCCAGACCCAGCTCAGGGAGCCTGCGGTGCACGTGCGCTCTCCCGCGCTCGGAGGACAGGCGCGACTATGCCTCGCCGGGACTCGACGCGGCTTGCTTCCCTTGTGCGGAGCTCTGGAAGCCTGGCTGC